AGCCCCGACTGGTGGAGGGCTGCAGTGATGGTTGACTTTCTACAACTTTCTCCCATCTCCCGACTGCATCTCTGGAGCTCAGTCACAGTCATCTGAAGAAATGGACAGCACCTAAGTTAAATATATGAGTGTCACAGCAAAGGGTCTGAATACTTATGACCATGTGATATTTCAGTTTTTCTTTTTTAATAAATCTGCTAAAATGTCAAACATTCTGTGTTTTTCTGTCAATATGGGGTGCTGTGTGTACATTAATGAGGAAAAAAATGAACTTAAATGATTTTAGCATATGACTGCAATATAACAAAGAGTGAAAGATTTAAGGGGGTCTGAATACTTTCCGTACCCACTGTAGATGGTTCACCACGTCAGTGAAACAGTTTTGTTGAGGAAATTATTTAGTCAAACTAGTGTGAAAAGTGCCGTGTGTTTTACTGTTGGACTGAGTGAGACCAGACCCTTTTCATATGCAGAACACGAACATCAGTAACCGGTGTAATAGATGTATAAAAGTGTGCAAAAAGCAACAGAAGGAAATTGTGGTTTTGTCTGTTTCCCAAACACCCTGGAAAACCCAGAAGTATAAGGATGCAGCAGATTTCCAGTCATGGACTGAGCCTAGAAGGCCGACCTGTGTTTTTCTTTTTTAAATGTATCTTCATTGTTTGTCAGCACAGGGTAATGCAGACTAATTAATGATTATCATCGTCACCACCTGGTCGTGCCGCTCAACATAATGCCTACGATAGTTTCCTCCTGTGTTTTCTGCTTCCTGTGATCTCAGTGACCCATGATGCTGTTTTTGCTTCCTGTAACTCAGGTCTGTTGCGGTTTTTGTCTCGAGCGTAGAATGAGGAAACCTGCTGTAAAACAGGTTCAGAGGCCGTCTCATAACAATAACTTTAACTTTAGTGGCTTTTTAACTTGATAAAGTAAACCAAACTATATATGCCCTGTTGTGCTCTGAAGCTTTTAGTCGCTCATGATGTGAAGAAGCTTGTGTCTTTTTGACAATGTAACCTGTAAACATTTGGCCGTCTGGATGTTAATATGATACATACATGAAGATCTTGGTGATGAGCTGAAACATGTCATTAATTCATTTAATTAAATTTAATGGTGAGACTGAAGGTTTGAAGCTTGTGAGGATCATAGTAATGAGTTTAAATCCAGAACACACAGGATGTTAACAGCTCAGGGGTGTTTATGAGAGACGCGCTGCTCCGATGCCATGAACATGGTCGATTTGGCCTTCAGGGTCGGTTCTACACTTATTACTTACTGGAGGTATTTGCTCTTTGGGTGATAACTTCCTGTGGTATACAGTGACTGAAAGAGAAAGATGCTGCCCGTAGATTTAATCTGACCCAGAACTGGTACTGAAATTTCTATAAACTGTTGTGAGGGAAAGACTTATCATCTCATCTTAACACTGAGAAGTTTCTAGCTTGAAATGTTTGTCTCAGAGAAATAGAAGCAGACACGTTACACTCTTACCCAACGTTATTTTCAGACTAGGTGTTCTTTTCTGGCTTCTAACTCTTTACCCGACTCCAAGAGAGCTGCACAAGTATTCCTATATGCCTAGACTGTCTGTTTATGCATAAATGGCAAACAAGAGTCTTGAGTCATCAGTTTAGAACTGGTCACAACACATTTACAGTATGATGACGTCCTCTCCCGCTGTTTGACATCAGAGCTGGTTTCTGAATGAATGCTCCGCTTGTTGTGTTTTTTTTTCATGATACAAAGGATCAGAGCATCATTTCCAGTGCGCTGCTAAGTGAGTCACTCTGTCACGGACATAACTGCCCCTGTTTTACACCTAACAACCCCACTCAGTGTACTGGAGTGAATACATACATTGTGACCCCCGGCTCCCAGTACAAAGACAGTGTGAACGATGTGTCCAAGCCTTTGTGTCTGTTTGAAGAGAGTTTTTATATTTTAAACAAAGTGGCTGAAAGTGAAAATGTAAAAAACACTTCAGAAAAACATGTGTTGATTGTGTCTGCAGGTGTTGTGTTGTGCACCTGTCCTGATGGAGACACTCTGAGGCAACAGTAGGAAAGTCCTCACTCTTCTTCTGTCAGAAGGCTGCACAGATGTTTTCGCGAGGTCAGGAAAACATCTCCACCCCCACAGCTTCCACCAAAGGACCCATCAAATATGGAGAGCTCATTGTGCTCGGGTAAGAGGTTCACTCACAAGGTTTTACATCTGTGGTCAAAACCTCTAAGTCATCACAGTGGATCTTCACATGACCAGGTTCTTAGTTTTACTTGTCTCAGCCCCTTAACTCCACATGTATGTTTACTTTACATGGCCTAAAGAATCACGTCAGTTTTTAGATTCAGTTCTCACCATCCAGGCAGCAGGTTCACTACAGAGCAAAAGCTGCATGAGCTCACATTCCCCCCACTGACTGATGACCCCAGTGACAGTGGGACAGGACATGGTGTCTCTCAGCTACACCCCCCTCCATGACCCTCTGCCGCCCACCGCCTCCTCTTGTTATTCCAGCTTCTCCACCCTGTGTTGTCAAAGTACGGTCTGTAAATCAGCCCCACCTGCCCCCTAGCCAAGGTTAGAAGAAGGGTTTTTCCAGCCAGTAGTCATGTCAAACAGCCATGGAGGAGCTCTGGGCAGCTAAAAGTCTGAACCAGCAGCTGTCAGAGTGAAGAGGTGGCGTCTTTAGCACAGAGAGAGTGGGACAAAGAAAGAGCAACAACCAGGCTTAACATGGGTTTGGCTGTTTGACATGGAGAGGGTTAAAAGCAGCCAGAGGACTCAGACTGGATCCAGATGTGGCCTTCTTCCTTCTGGATGTGTTAGCATCTAAAGCTAACCTGTTTGTTTTGGTAGCATTAGCCACCTAGCATGGTCAGGATTTTACCTTTTTGTTGAATTAAGTTAAGAGTCAGTGGGTGAAAAGAATGCAAAAGCATTGCATTCATGAGTTTTGTTGCCCCATGGTCAAACCCAGAAGACCCAGCAAGAAAACACAGATAATAAACAATGTGAATTTGGTCGTCTGTTACATGTCAGATGCATCAGTAGAGACAGATTTTACAGCAGCCTCTGATTATAAATGTATAGCTCTACAGTGATGTGACACCAAGAAACAACAGCAGCTATTGTGAGCAAGGTTCAGTCTCGCCAGGCTTATTTACAGAGGCGGTGGAGAAGGAGTGTGCAGGGGGCAACTACAGAGGCACAAACTCATGAAGCAGTTCATCAACAAACATGGCTCTGAAATATGGATTTCCATAGCTTAATGCGAGTCAGTGCATGTCAGATTCAAGCACCAGCAGACCTGTAGCAGAAAACTTTGGGCTGTAGCTCGTAGCGCTGCGCTGATTTGCTGCTTACCTTGTTGACATCTAGTTGGAGGTTTTATTGCTGTTCAGAATTCTTTGTCCTCAGATGAGTCTAGTGTGGTAGGACTGTGCGTATGTAAATATATATATTTTATAGTTTTATATAACTCATTGTCTGCAGTTTGAGAAATGTCAAGTTGTTCCTACCAAACCTTGGTGTTTGATACTGTGGGTACATTTTTACCCACTGATGGTTAAAGACAAAAAAAGTGTATTTATTAGACAGTGTGATAAAAGCTTGATTGGAATTTTATACTGTGTCTATGGTCATAGATGAAGATTGATTATATATTTATAAATAGTATTATTAAAGAAAAGATGGATTGTAATGTTGTGTGTGTATATATCTCATATTATGGATCATTTAATTGTATCAGGAAACCAAAAAGAGGCTCAGACCAGTTGACTGAAGGCCAGTCCGCTGTGGACATGAGAAAGAGCCTGTGGTTCAGGAAAAGTTGTGGCTGCTGTGGTTTCAGGCGATTTGTTTGCTTTCATAATGTAGTATCCACATGTGTAATTACACAGCCTGCAAGTGATAATTACACTGGTCATAACATTTAATTTTAAAGAGCCTTATAGTCTGTGAAAACAGCTTGTGTGTTGTGTCAGACAATGCAGCCACAGTGGAGCTGGGTGGTCTGAGTTAGCCTAAGGAAAGAGGTGGCTGTTACTTTGTCTGAAATGCAGGAAGCTTTAATTATCCAGTGAAAGAATGGCTCAGCTCCTAACTGCACATGTTTACATGAGCTGCTGCCGACAGCCGTCTGGCTCTGGAGATAACCTCCAGCTAAACTGATCCAGAACATTCAGCCTTCAGAGGTTTCTTTTTGGATTTGCTGCAGCTCAGGACCAGGTGTTGTACAAATAATTAGCAGTCATTAACAAGCGTCCCAATGGCTCAGGTGGATAAACTGTAAACCACATAACCACAGCGGTGAATGTGAAGTGAAACTGCTTGTCAGCTTTTCTATCCCATATAGTTTCCTGTTAAACATCTCACCTTCCTTTCCTCCAGTACAGAGATAGGCCCAGGATGTGTTTAGCCTAGCTTAGCACAGAGACTTAAAGCAGGGGGAAACTGCTAGCCTAGTGCCATCTAGTGTAGTCGTCAAGACCACCTAAACCAAGACCACCTAAACCAAGACCAAAACCAGGGTGAGGCAGGACTGAGTCGAGGCCAAGACCAGAGCAGTGCAGTTAAACTGAATTTGATGGTACTGGCTCGCCTGTGTTTCAGTGAAGTTAGTGCACGTTTTTCCCTATAATATTCCTCAAAATTATACAAAAAGATGTTGTTTTCAAATTAAGTGTTGTAGTATCTAACCAACAAGAGGCTCTTGATGCGTGAGCCATTATTCCCAGTACAAATTCCTCAAAATTATGCAAAAAGTGTTTTAGTAAAACCAACAGGAGGCCCCCGATGGCTGGACTGAGTCTGACTGTAGGCCTGCTACGCTACCTAAGGGTTATTTAATATTTATGTAGTAGGCTCTCTCTGTTCGGTGCTGCTCTCTGTAGACGCCCCTATGCGCTGGTCTCACAGCCGGCTGCTCAGAGACCAGTGCTACTTGTCCAGTGAGTGTGTACATGTGGGTAAAGCTCATTTTGATGTTGTAGCCCGTTTTCTGCCTTACAGTTTGGAAAGAGATGCCGCTTGTGTTTTAGCAGCGTTTCACTATGACTTATTGATCCTGGAACTGAACCATAGTCCTGCTTCCCAGGGTAACGCAACTTAATTCAGCTCATTAGTATCTTTGTTAGGTAGGTTAGTGAATTCTTTAGCTGTAAATTAGACCACATTAGTCTTCTCTCTATCTGCTGTCATTATTGAGATATTAATCAACTTGCATTTCTGTTGCGTTTCCTTTTTTTTCCAGTTTATAACTCCCATCGTTGTTTTTACGTTCATTGTGATGTGTCACCTTTGTTCATGTTCATTCTGCTTAAAGTGCTCGCTGCTTCTAGGTGTTGATATCTTGGTAATGATGTTAACAACTAAAGCAGACAATGCACAAGGTAAGGTCTTACCTGGCCCCAAAATAAAATCCTGAGACTGAGACCAGACCAAGACCGATCTCGAGTACCAGAACACTGGACTGCCGTCAGAATCAAAACAGCACCTTCCAACAGCTCCAGAACTGTCTGGTTTAAATGTTTTATCTTGTTGAACATGCGGAAACAGAAGTGTAAAGAAGAGACATTGTGGGTTAAGCAGCTTGTTGACTTCTGGATGCAAATGTCCTGTTGTTGTCAAGCCCCCAGGAACAGCACTGGGCTGTGAAGCAAAGTGGGCTTTTTGGCATAGCGTTTGTTTGTTTGTTTGTTTGTTTGTTTGTTTGTTTCTGGGAGCAGCAAACTGAGCCTAAATCCAGTTAAATGTGCTGAGAAACTCCATGAAGGACGCAGCCAGTCACTGTAGACATGAGAGAGAGCCCGTGGTTCATGTCAGGAAAGTTGTAGCTGCTGTGGTCTAAGGCCTTTTGCTTACTTTACATTATTGTCTCCAGGATCAAACTGTTCGGGCCCCCAGATGGTGTGAAAATATTCTTACACCACATCTGTACAAACTACTGCAGCGCTGAGCCATATGCTGAATCTGTCGCTGCTGGACTGTTTGGATGATTAATAGAACCAAAATCCTTTACATAATTTATGAACCTTTTCACATTCCTCTGCCTAAGGGGCAGATGTCTGTTTGCTCCCCTGAGCTTCAAACATCAACAGGCCAACTCTGTTTAAAACCTGACAGCCAGTCATGGTTCACATGCAGATACAGTGCCTTGCGAAAGTATTCGGCCCCCTTGAACTTTGCGACCTTTTGCCACATTTCAGGCTTCAAACATAAAGATATAAAACTGTAATTTTTTGTGAAGAATCAACAACAAGTGGGACACAATCATGAAGTGGAACGAAATTTATTGGATATGTCAAACTTTTTTAACAAATAAAAAACTGAAAAATTGGCCGTGCAAAATTATTCAGCCCCCGCAGAGAGCATCATGAAGAACAAGGAACACACCAGGCAGGTCTGAGATACTGTTGTGGAGAAGTTTAAAGCCGGATTTGGATACAAAAAGATTTCCCAAGCTTTAAACATCCCAAGGAGCACTGTGCAAGCGATAATATTGAAATGGAAGGAGTATCAGACCACTGCAAATCTACCAAGACCTGGCCGTCCCTCTAAACTTTCAGCTCATACAAGGAGAAGACTGATCAGCGATGCAGCCAAGAGGCCCATGATCACTCTGGATGAACTGCAGAGATCTACAGCTGAGGTGGGAGACTCTGTCCATAGGACAACAGTCAGTCGTATACTGCACAAATCTGGCCTTTATGGAAGAGTGGCAAGAAGAAAGCCATTTCTTAAAGATATCCATAAAAAGTGTCGTTTAAAGTTTGCCACAAGCCACCTGGGAGACACACCAAACATGTGGAAGAAGGTGCTCTGGTCAGATGAAACCAAAATCGAACTTTTTGGCAACAATGCAAAACGTTATGTTTGGCGTAAAAGCAACACAGCTCATCACCCTGAACACACCATCCCCACTGTCAAACATGGTGGTGGCAGCATCATGGTTTGGGGCTGCTTTTCTTCAGCAGGGACAGGGAAGATGGTTCAAATTGATGGGAAGATGGATGGAGCCAAATACAGGACCATTCTGGAAGGAAACCTGATGGAGTCTGCAAAAGACCTGAGACTGGGACGGAGATTTGTCTTCCAACAAGACAATGATCCAAAACATAAAGCAAAATCTACAATGGAATGGTTCACAAATAAACATATCCAGGTGTTAGAATGGTCAAGTCAAAGTCCAGACCTGAATCCAATCGAGAATCTGTGGAAAGAACTGAAAACTGCTGTTCACAAACGCTCTCCATCCAACCTCACTGAGCTCGAGCTGTTTTGCAAGGAGGAATGGGCAAAACTTTCAGTCTCTCGATGTGCAAAACTGATAGAGACATACCCCAAGCGATTTACAGCTGTAATCGCAGCAAAAGGTGGCGCTACAACGTATTAACTTAAGGGGGTTGAATAATTTTGCACGCCCAATTTTTCAGTTTTTTATTTGTTAAAAAAGTTTGACATATCCAATAAATTTCGTTCCACTTCATGATTGTGTCCCACTTGTTGTTGATTCTTCGCAAAAAATTACAGTTTTATATCTTTATGTTTGAAGCCTGAAATGTGGCAAAAGGTCGCAAAGTTCAAGGGGGCCGAATACTTTCGCAAGGCACTGTATCTGCAGACTTCAGAAAACCACTGGTCCCAGAGCAGCCTGGACGTGCTTCTCAGTGACCAGGAGTGGAAGAGAAACTTTTACTGCGCTTCCAAATCAGTGAGTCTCACCTCCAATGCTGCCAGCACCTGACATTTATTACAAGTATCATTATCTCTAAAAGAGGCAGAGGAGTAACTGAGCATGTGACACTCCGAGCAAGAGAAAGAAGGAGAGGAAGAGGGGGAAGCCATTGCTCTCATCTAAGTAAATTTGGAAATTAGCAAGAAATTCTGTAACACAGGTGCTTAAGTAGGTGTATGTTGTGACTCAAATTAGCTGCTGATGAGATAAACATAGAAATTAGTGAACTTAATCCATAAACGTAGCAAGCACAACATGGTGCAGACGCATTAAACAGGAAGTGAATACGATTACTGCCGGAACAGGAAACATGCTTCCTGATCAGCGTCTGAACAAGGGTCAGACATACCCAGCTGAGTCTCTCCAGTTTCCCCTCCTGCTGCTGGAGGCAGCGGTGCTGGGCAGGGTGCGATGCCTGGACTCATTTGTATATGTGTGATTATTTATTAATCATTGAACTCCATGAAGCTCAAGGACCAGTCATGTTTGCAGGTCCCTTTCAGAAGTTTATTGAACTTTGTTTAAAGAAAATCTCTGACTACACATTTTGTGTGTTTTACATGCCGTAAAATGTCTGAGGAGAGGATCTTTAAACTTAGGATAAGAGATAAAGGTGGCTGCTGTAATTTACCAGAGCCCAAGATAATATCAAACTGCTTATTTGGCCTACAGTCCACAACCCAGAAATATTCCCTTTACAATCAGGGCTGACAAAGAAAAGCAGCTAATCATCCCATGTAAGAGGCTTTAACCAGCAAGATTTTGACTAATTGATCGTAGCGGCTCTACCTGCTGTAAATGTGGAGCCTCACTCACAGTATGTTCAGTTTTTCAGGCGTCTCATCTTGTGTGCTCAGGTGTAACGGCTCTCTGCCCAACGGCGACAAAGGGAGGCGGAAAAGTCGCTTTGCCCTGTGCCGCAGAAACAAAGCCAACGGTGTGAAACCCAGCACTATCCACACATCCTGCACACCTCAGGCTGCCAAGGTGAGCGCTCAACACACGAGTGGCCACGCTGTCTCAGGCCTTTAAATGTTGTTATGAGCAACAAGTCTGGCCTTTTCTCTGGTTGTGTGAGGCAGCTGCAGTGAGCTAACGAGGCATGTATGTATGCATGCTTCTTCATTTCCATAGGCTATGTTTCTGCAGGTGTTGCCAGGTTAAGTAAATGGATTTGTAGTGCGTTCAAATGTGCCACATATTTTTACCTGCATCGTTAACTAAATGTCTTTATTGAACAAAAACAACAATAAACAGTTGTGTTTTTATGCCTCAAACAGATGGTAACAGTGCATCTGTTGTGTGTTCCTAAAGGCTGTTAGCAACAAGGAGCAGCACAGTATTTCATACACCCTGTCGCGGGCACAGACGGTGGTGGTGGAGTACACCCATGACAGCAACACAGACATGTTCCAGGTCTGTATCATCCAAAAACCTGTACCCCAGGCACAGCTGGAGAGGGCTACATTGGTGGTTCTGGTTTTAATGGGCCTGGAAGGCCACACAGTCATTAGGCGTCTTCCTGTAAATCAAGCTAGCACAGTCCTCGTTTGTTCAGTCAGCTGAGTGATAAACTACATATTAGCCCTCGTTCTTTTCTTTTCTCCTGTGTTTTATTTGGCTCAGTTTGGTTTAACTCTACCGGGTCGACCTCCAGCACTTCAGAGAACTTAGGACATTCATGTAACAAAATAATTTAAGCCTAGAAGTCACATCTCATAAGGTTCATTTCAATTCCCTTAGTTGCAATCTCAGACTGGCTGCCTATCATCCTGATGGATCCTGATGGATGATAGGCTCTATATGAATGATTGGCACTTTCTGCTTTTCCTTTTAGGGGTCGCCACAGCGAATCGTCACACTGACCATTCGCATGTTAACATTTGACACGTGCTTTACACCAGACACATCTAATTTATTTTTGAATGGCTTGCGATCTACCAACACTATCCTTGTGATCGACGTATTGGGCACCCCTGATCTAGGGCAAAGGAAAAAGTCAGAGCCTCCAACTTAACCAAATGATTAAGGCAGTGATAATAAAAGTAATAATAATACTTAAATTCAAGTCTGGTGTTGTGGGAATGAACGCACACTTTAATACCAAAACAACAGTCTAACTCTCTGTGTGTGTGATTCCAGATCGGTCGTTCTACAGAGAATCCCATTGACTTTGTGGTGACCGACACAGTGCCTGGTGGTCAGGGCCATGCAGACGGTCAGATGGCACAGAGCACCATCTCCCGCTTCGCCTGCCGCATCATCTGCCATAGAAACCCGCCTTACTCTGCGCGGATTTACGCAGCTGGCTTCGACTCCTCTAAGAACATCTTCCTTGGGGTAGGCGGACCTCACTGGGGCTGTTATTCAGTACTTGTGTTCTGTGCAGTTACAGAGAAATAGTTCTTAATATTCACAGAGAGGCTAAACACCAAACTAAGTTACTAAGTTACATCCTCTCAGGAGAAGGCAGCCAAGTGGAGAATGCATGACGGTCAGATGGACGGTCTGACCACCAACGGTGTTCTGGTGATGCACCCACGTCAGGGCTTCAGCCAGGACTCTAAACCCGGCCTATGGAGGGAAATCTCTGTCTGTGGCAACGTGTTCACGCTGCGGGAGACCAGATCAGCTCAGCAGAGAGGCAAGACGGTGGGTAACAGACACACTGAGCCTGTACAAACACTAGCAGGTGAAAGCAAGACATTGTAGCTCTGTGTGAGTAAGACTCAAGACTCAAAGTGTTTATCGTTATGTGCACAGTAAGGAAACGTGTTTCCCTGTACAATGAAATTCTTGCTTTGCCGTCCACATGAATGCCACATGATACAAGGTGAAATACTGTATAAGGTAGATAAATAGTACACAAAATCTGAAGGCACTTAAAGACAAGTGGAAACAAATGTAATAAAAAAATATATAAAGAGCATGCTACGTTGGAGCTGGATGTGCAATAGGCGGCAGTGAGTGTGCAATTGTGCATGTGCAGATGTGCATGTGCAAACTTGGAATGTAAACAGTACAAGTGGAATTACATGAAGTAATTCCTGATAATAAACTCCTCAGCTGTTTAGGAGTCTGATGGCAGAGGGAAAGAAAGAGTTTTTCAGTCTAGAGGTCCTACATTTCACACTTCTGAACCTCCAGCCAGAGGGTAGGGAGGTGAACAGTCTGTGCTG